AGAACTCCACTTCCCCATTTCTTTTCTTTTGCTCACTAACCTTTGCATTAATGCAACCCTATTATCCTCTAACATGAAGATTAGGTGCCTAGTCCTAGCATTAATTATATAAGCATTGAATGTTTCTGCCATATTGTTAGTTATGGCATCAGTTTTAATAGATGGATCTAGGTGTGCTCTACAGAAGACATTAGGATTGTACCTCTTAAATGCCAAGGCAGCCTCTGCATTCATTTCACTTAACTCATCCAGTGCTTCATTGTAATCTTCCAAGTTGTAGCACTTGGCTATCTTCCAAAACTGCATCTTCATCTCATCCCCTTTGTATGTCCTGTGCCAATGGGCAAAGATATGCCTGGCACAGTGTCTATGTTCAGCTTTTGGAAGCATAGAAGCAACATCATTCAATATAGCCTACACCCAACATACAACAACACAAACAGACTATTGGATCAACACATGCATTAACAAGTGAATAAAGGCAGGACTGTAGATGCATTAACAAGTGAATAATGGAGAATGGACACATTTATACCTGGTGCTCATCTGAAATTATAGCAATCCCACTTCCATCTCCCAAATCAAGGCAGGACTGTAGGTGGGTAAAGAACCATACCCATGACAGGTTGTTCTCTCCCTCAACCACAACCCAACAGATTGGGTACATCTGCTCATTTGGATCCCTAGACACTACTGTCATAATCTGACCCCCAAGGAATGTCTTCAGAAATGCAGCATCTACACAAATCACTTTTCTACAAGCCATCTTCCAACCCTCTTTGACTCCATCAAAACAAGTGAAAAACCTCTTGAAGACTGGGGTTGATGTGTTAAGCTGTGGATCAACAACCAACTCAACTACAGTTTCTGGGCTAGCTTCCTGAATTGCCTTGAAGTACCTCTCAACTTTCATATAATGCTCTTTCATTGATCCATGTAACATCCTATGAGCATGATATTTGACCTTGTATGCAAAATTTCTAGTCACAATTACCTTGTAGCCTCTTCTTATTGTTTCCACTATCTCCTTAGCTGGCCAATGTGGCCTTGCTTTGAACAACTCAAAAAGTTGCTTTGCCACCCAAGTGCTCTTTAGTTGTCTGTTCTTGTTCATGTTTCTAAGACATGTGTGGCTATCAACAACACTCTTTACCAACCAAGTTGCATCTCTGGAATGCATAGAACAGTATAGATAGAAAGGGCAGTTCCCAACACATTTAACGCCCAATTTTTTCTTGTCTTTATTGCTTATGACATACCTAAGATCTCTCCCTTGCATGACTGCGTATTTGCTAACAGCCTCCTTGAAATCAGCTCTGTTTGCAAACCTTAGACCCACTTTCCAGTTGAACTTTGTGAAGTCAGTGTCTCCCTTCACTAAGACACCCTTTTGAGCCTTGGTAACTCCTTCTAATTCATCCTCTCTTGCAGTTGGTGTATGAATATCATCATCACCCAGCTCATTATCAGTGCATACACCACCTTGCTAGGTTGTAGTTGCACCAGATGTCTGACAAACTTCTTTCTGCAGCTGCAAAGCTATTTCAATTACCTTTGAATTGCAATTCTTCACTCTAGCCCTAGCTTCAATGACCTCATCATCACTGACATCAGACTCAGGGTCAATAAAATCAGTACCCTCAAGCTCTGCAACCTCCTTAACTTCCAGATCTATGTCATCTAGACTGAAATCATCATCCTGCTCAGTGTCTCTATCACCATCTACCTCATATTCATCATCAATTTCATCCTCCTTAAACTCACCCCCCTCACAAAACTTCTTGTATTCTGGGTCTGGTTCATAAGTTGGATCACTGTCATCACTGAATACATCATCATCACCTATAAGCTCACTCCACCTCAAAGGGCTATCTCCCCTGTTGTCCACCCAATCATAATCAAGAAAGGTTGTGTTAACACTAGGCAGCTCAGCAATGGATACAAATTCACAACTTGGAAATTGATAAAGGTTTGGAAAGGGGTTTTCAGTTTCTTTATCTAAATCTGGAACTACAGAAGGAGGTTTGCTGGGAGAAGATGCTTGTTTTTCTTTCAGATTTGGTTTCAAGGGTGGAACTGAGGTTGTTGGGGCAGTCAAATGTTGGTAATATAGAGAATAGGGTGCTCTAATAGATTCTTTTTGTGATGATGTGGCAACATCTTTTTGTCTCCTAGGGCTTATCCTAATAGGTGTGGCCAGCTTTGTTTGTGGTCCCTTCTTTGGGTCTTTTTTTTTCTCTTGTTTGCTTTGGTTGTGGGATTCTCAACATCTTTGACTGTTGTTTGGGATTTAGGTGAAGATTCTGCCCTATTGCCAACAATAACTCCCTCCTCACTTTGTACAGCAGGATTGCTAACAGCTCCTTCCTCACTTTGTACAGCATGTCTACGCTCAGATGGCTCCTTATGGTGCAGGAAATACACATCAGCACGCTTATGTGTATTTGCAATTTTAATCAACTCCAACACTTCTTCATCTCCATCTATTTTCCTCAAGCCATCCTCCAAACTCATCCCAGGAACTAGGTAATATATCCCAGCCACAGCAATGTACCCACATTTATTTGCATATTCAAGTAATTCCCAATAACACAACAAATTAGTGTCCGCCTTGAAATTCCTACCCTTACCACCCACATACACCAATTCACCATTATGTTGATGTTTGAACTCACCACCATGCCAAAACCTTATTGTAACACTATCAAAGAAACTGCTCATTGCAAACCTAGAATTACAATTACAAAGTCAACATCAAAGTCTACTATCAATACCATCACAAGCATACTATCACAAGCAACAACATCAGCAGCATTAGCTAAATTCATCAATTAACCAGAACACCCCATCAGTAACCCAACCCAACTGACAAGATTATCACAACATTCACAGGAATTAACATCATTCGAAATTGTGTACTAATTAGTCACATGAAATTCTTTCTAAATTCATAATTAACACCAAACAACACTTCAATTGCATCAAAATACACTCAAAATCATACGTGACTAGGCTACAATTCACAATTCAATACATGTCATTGCAATTTGACATTTTGACAATAAGTTGGGGCAAAAAATCTTACCTTTAAACGCGCAATTAGGGGAAAAATCGTCACTTTCGTACTTCTATGCACTGTAGATTCCTTCTCCAGTTGATAGGGACGGCTCACCGCATTCAATTCCGTTGTTCAATTGTGGTAAAGTGAGTGTCTTCTTTAATGGAGTAAACAGAGGAGAGAGAGTATGAGAGGGAGGGAAATGAAATTGAAGAGGAAAAAAGAAGGTTGTTGGGAGTCATTAATGCCACGTTGGCTTCTTAGGGAGGGAATGGAAGTCAAGGCTTGACTTCCACCTGCAACCTCATTTATTAGCCGGTTACCCGTAACCTGTTCCATTTATAGAAAAGGGGGTCAAAGGTGGTTCCATTTTGAAATAAATTAAAGGTCGTTTCATTATTGGAAGACAAGTGAAAGGTGATATTATTCCTAACAAATTTTCATTAAATTTTGATCATTACTTTTACCAAATATGCATGAAAGCCAAAACATTTTTCGATTATTAAATAAATATAATTTTTAACAATATAGTTGTTAAATTATATGTAATCTTTAGTACCATAAAGATTAGAGGAAGTTTGTTGAATTATCACTTCTCATATCATTTACAGTTTGCCCTATTACATTATTTAATTGATAGCAATCACGAATTACTCTCACAAAAATTATTTAGATTCCTCCCTATTTCTTTTTAATTTTTGATTCATCCAAATAACCGGATACGAAGAGAGTAGATTATTTCATTTTATAATAATATGGTTTGCTTAAATTAGGCCAAGTGTTATACTTTAGAAACCTTCAACATGATCAACAGATTACTCGTTTACCGTATGTTTACCATATCTTTCAAGGTATTACAAAATACGTACTACATGTATGTACAATCAATTAATGACTACAAGGCAATGTGTTCCACGAATATGATTTGATTAAAGGGATGATAATGTTTTGATGATTATTGTACATGACTTGTAGATCGAATTAAACTAACAATTCAAGCTTTTAAAGGATCCGAATGCATGTAGTCAACTTGAAAGTTTGGTTATGACTTATGAATATGAACTTATGACCGAATTAGATATGCTAGAAAAATCAAAACAATATATAGTTATAGAAATGTAGAGTGATAAACGAAAATATTGAAAGAAGAAGAAGTATGAGAGAATAAGAGGGTATTTCATTCAGTAAATTGTACTCCTTCTGTTCTCGAGAGAACGACCATTTTAGGTTGATTTCGCGGGCATTAATAAAGTTAAATAAAAAGAAGTAAAAATATATTGAAAAGATAAATTTATATGGGGCTTACAAAAAAGTAGAGAGAGATAGTAATAAAAGTATATGGAAAAACAAAATTTTACATGGGGAAGCTAATTTTGCACAAATAATGTTGTAAATTGGTGGGTATTTTAATGCTAATGGGTCATTCTTTTTGGGACTTAAATTAGGCCAAATGGGTAATTCTTTCGGGGACGGAGGGAGTAGAAAAATGAATTGTACAGTGTAATAAATGAAGACTAAGCCTATTTATACAATAGTTAGTGTAACTAACTTTCTGACAATATAATAACAATATATAATATCTTATACTGCCCCTTCAAGCTGGACCTGATCAATGAGTCCAAGCTTGGAACACAGAACACTGTGCCTATTAGAAGCTAAAGGCTTAGTGAGGAGATATGCCAACTGTTCTTCTGAAGAAACATGTTGAGTGCACAGAAAACCAGCTTCCACTAATTCTCTGACATAATGCATATCTCTCTTTAAGTGCTTAGTCTTCTCATGAAACAAAGGATTTTGAGCAAGATGTTCTGTAGAAGTGTTATCACACATCAAAGGAATAGGAAGCTTAGATTGAACTAGAAAATCTTCCAACAAACCATAAACCCATTCAACTTCACTGCTTGCAACTAACATACTTCCATATTTAGACTCATCAGAAGATTTACTGACCACTTCTCTGTTTCTTAGTTTTCCATGATTTCAAATTAGAACCAAGGAAAACTGTATATGCACTCAAGGATCTGCTACTAAACTGGCATCCACCCCAATCAGTATCACTGTAAGCTGACAAATCTAAGCTTGAGTGTGCTGAAAACCATAAACCACAGTTTATTGTTCCTTTCAAATATCTGAGAACATGTAGAGCAGCTCTGAGATGAAGTACCCTTGGTGAGTGCATAAACTGACTCACATGTTGTACAGAGTATGATAAATCTGGTCTTGTTATTCCTAGGTATAATAATCTTCCAACAAGTCTTCTGTAAACATCAGGTTCCTTAAGTAACTCACCATGTTCTGTAGAAAGCTTTAAACTGGGAAAAGGAACAGCACCAGCTGAACAATCATCCATCCCAGCATAAAAAATAACATCTTTGATATATTTCCTTTGTGAAAGGAAAGTCCCATCAGAATTCCTAGTGATTTCAATTCCAAGAAAATACTTCAAATCACCAAGGTCTTTGATAGTAAAAGCTTTATCTAAAGCCTTTTTAACACCATCAATCTGAGCAGTAGAAGTTCCAGTTATGAGCATGTCATCCACATACAGCAAGATTACTAGGAACTCACCTTCTAAGCTCATGGTAAACAAAGAATAGTCTTGTTTGGACTGCTGAAAACCAAGATTCTTCAAAAGCTTACTGAGCTCTTTATTCCATTGTCTAGAAGCCTGTTTCAGTCCATAAATGGACTTTTTCAATTTACATACTTGACCCTTTCTTGCTTTCTTATATCCAGCAGGAGGTACCATATAGACCTCTTCATCTAAGTAACAATGCAGAAATGCATTGTTAACATCTAATTGGCATAGAGGCCGATTCTTCACAATAGCAAGAGCAATAACAATTCTCACAGTAGCAAGCTTAGCAACGGGCACTACAAGAAAAAGGAGGATTAGCGACGGTCAAATTAGTTGCAAATCTGTCGCAAAATTGGATTTGCGACGGATTTGCAACTACTTTGGTTAGTTGCTAAAGACCTCGTCGCAAATCCATTTTTGCGACTAATTTTGTTATAGTCACAAATTTAGCGACAAATTTGCAACAACTTTGCAACTGCCATTTAGCAACTAACTTTAAAATTTTAGCAACTAAATCATTGTCCGTCGCAAAATATTAGCAACTAATTTGCAACTGTCATTTAAGGACTAACTGTAAGATTTTAGAAACTGATTCATTGCCCATCACAAAATATTAGCGACAGATTTAAGACTACAGTATTTTGCAGTGGATTAGCGACTACGGAGACCAATATTTTTGTGAATGATTAACAACTACTAAAATCAATTTTTTGCTACTAACCATTCAGTTGCTAATACAAATTTTAGTTGCTTAATTTTTGCAATAGACAATTTCTAGTATAAAAACCACAAAGACACCAGTACCTAAACGCTTGGTGCCTTTCATGATGAAAGGCAGCGGTTCTTACATGAAACATTGCCTAATATGCCCATTAAAAAGAGGGTTTTTTTCCTCTAAATTGAAACAAATACACATACATACATTTAAACTTGAATATTTTCAAAAATAATTATTGTAACAAATATTACAATTTTATCCCAAAAGAAAGTATTTTAAATGTACAAAGTTGGGATTAGCGTTAATAGGAACATTCAACAGCAGCAACATCAGCATCGGTGACTTCAGTGTTGATAACAAAGTGTTGATAACAACGACTGAGGCATCAGCACAGATCTGTTAGAATGAAAACCAGATAAGTAGGGGTGAGCATGGATTGGGTAATAATTTGCCAAGAGAATACACAAGAATACCAGTTTAAAAACAAACAAGACATGAATAAATAGCAAAATATTGCAGGTGTAGTATAATATCGCTATGGGGCCACTATCTAGATGGTTAATAGATATATGAAGAGACATGCTTAAACTCATCTAGACCCCCTTGCAAGCTTGGGGAGATTCATAGCAATGCAAGGACCAACAATGATCTAACTTTACATGTCTTTTATAAACAAAACTAAGAAATGTGTTAGATACAAAAGATCCTAATCCTTCTTATCATAACTAAATTAACCAGTACTCAGAAATAGGAAACTAAGGTAAATTATATATATTTAGAGGCTAACCTCTTTTTCCTTAAAAATAAAGGTTGGTTTTCAATGTTCCTGAGGTGATTCTTTGCTAGTTAAGCTGTAGGGAGTCAGCAGTGAAACTTAGTTATTCACCTAACAGACAGTTAAAAACCCATGCATAGCAGTTCACATGCATACTGTATATTTTGAAGCTGAAGAAGCAACTAAAAAAAATATAGGGTAGCATAAGGGAGCAAAAATAAATAAAGTAAAAATATGGCAGAAATCAGAACTCTGATCCCATATAGTAAGTAGCAGAGCATTCTACCTGTCAAAGCTATGAACTAGCCCATCTGCACCTTTTTTTTAGCAGAAAACAATAAATATAGAAGCATAATATGTACTATATATTTTTCTCAGTCCAATATATTAAGGGACATCAACTTTAAGCAATAACAATGAATCCTAGCTCCGTCCCAGAAATTTGAAGTAGTGTATACTATAATCAGGTTTCATGTTCTTGCTTATCAAAAAGCTATAAGGACAAATGTAAGCATATAGAAAGTTGGAAACTCACATTCCAAAATGATGAACCATATTAGAAACGGAAAGAAGAGGAAACAAATATTTAAACCGATCCGATCCAAATAGCAGAGCAGAGCAGCACAGGAAACATGGAGATTAGTCTCCTCTTGCGCTTGAAGAATATGAGCTTGTTCTGCAGGTGTAACCGTGTAATGAATATTGATCACATTTTAGACAATAAGCAATGTTTGTTTGTGCTTATGCTTAACATAAAATTATCATTTAGTCCCTAACACTCCAAATTCCAAAACATGAGCAAATCCTAATATCTTAAATGAGAAACTTATGGCATGAGCATCCTTTGTACATCAGTTAATGGCATAGTTCCCAAAGTCTAACATTCTCATTCAACTTTTTTTTCTACAGCTCGATAACAAATCTTCAAAACTGGAATTACATCTTCAGTTATTTCTTAGGTTGTAGAAACACCAAAGAGCATAAATTAGTTTTGACAAATTACATCTTCAATTATTTCTTAGGTTGTTTCCCAGCCCAAGCATAATGCAAATTACATCTTCCTTCAGTTGTTTCTTACGAACATGTATGACAATAGTAAATTAGTAATAATGAAAAGGTAATTACAAATACACAAAAAGTCCCCAAATCTCACCAATAATTTCAATTTTCCATCTCTTCAATTGAATTTCAATAAAATTTCTATCAACCCAACAAAATAATGAAATATATAATAGAAAATCAAGAAAAAATATACAATTAATTAAAAAAAACGCAAGTTTTGACAATGAACCTCCAAAGCAATTCAATAAATGGACAAATTTTATCAACAAATTGATCTCAAAATATAAAAATAGCAAAAAAAAAAAAAAAAAAAACCAGCGATAAGAACTGGAATAGATGAAAATAAATAAATAAGAAAAAGAACTTACATATATAGAGAATTTGCGCCGGTGCCGGTGTTCAAGAAATCCGGCGATGTGAGCGACGATGACGGTTGCGGAGGCAGAGTGATGGAGAAAGTGAGCAAATGATAGAGAAAGAGAGAGAATTGGGGGTTTTTAGTTGTGACTCTCGTGAGTAGTGACTCTAGGGTTAAACTCTGTAACTCAGTGATTTGCAGCAAAAAAGGGATTAATTTAGTTGTTCTTATTTTTATTTTTTTTCGAAGGAAGGAAAGAATTTAACTAAAATTTATTTAGTTGACTTAGAGGTAATAATGAGACTGAGTGAACTATCCGAGCTCGATTTGGTCAAAGCTCAATTCGTGGTGGCTCGGCTCGAGTTTGAGCTCGGCTCGAGACCTTAACGTGACAAGCTGAGTTATACCAAGCTCGGCTCGAAAAGTTCATGAACAAGCTCAATTATTTTTATTTCCATATAAAAAAAACATGTGTATAAATATATTTATCAATAGATATTACACAATAATAAGTTAGTATTTTCACTATTAAACAAATAAACTCGTTATAATATAAAAAAATTATAATGAACAATAAAGAAACAAGTAAACTAGGGATAAGAATATGTCAAGGTTATTTGTGAACAGTTCGAGTTCGGTTTGGTCAACGCTTAGTCAAAGCTCGGCTCGGTCAAAACACGACTCATAAAGGTTTGATGAACTCGGTTTGAGTTTGAACGAATTTAAACGATCATGAGCCGAGCTTATTATCAACATTTTATCACCTATGTTTATTGATAATAAGAGATATTATATTGTTGGTCAAAAATCAAGTAGTAGATAGTCGATTTACCTTCGCCTTTCGAGTCCACAAGCCTTTATCTAAATATTTTGGTCTCATTTTTTGCAACTGATTATTAAGGTAGTCGCAAATATCAGTCGCAAATTAGCAACCGCATAGAAACTACTGCAAAATTAGTCGCAAAATCTACAACTACAATCATTTTCAGTCGCAAAATTATTTTTTGTGACTGAATATTAGGGTAGCTGCAAATATCAGTCACAAATTAGCGACCGCGTATCAACTACTACAAATTCAGTTGCAAATTTTGCAACTACCCGTCTTATTCAGTCGCAAAAATATATTTTGCAACTGAATATAAGAGTAGTTGCAAAAATTAGTCGCTAAATTGACTTTTTCTTGTAGTGGGGTGAGAAAGTCTGAGTAAAGTCTTGTCCTTCCACTTGTTGATATCCAATAGCTACTACTATCCCTTTATATCTCTCAATATTACCATCTAGGTTTAACTTTGTTTTATAAACCCATTTGGAACCTATTGCCTTCTTTCCCTTGCGTAGTTCAGTTAACTCCCAAGTATCATTATCTTCTAATGCCTTTAACTCTTTCTCCATTGCTTCAATCCAATTAGGATCATATTTTTCTTGATTATAGTGTTTAGGCCCTGTTCCCAGCATTGTTTCTTTTAGTAGTGAATCTGATGTTGTTATTCCTACTGTAATGAAGGAGTTGTGTCTTTGATAAGTGCAATTACTAGATATATTAAGTATCATTAGCAACAGATGATGACGACCCAAGAGAACGAACTTATTATCTCCACAATAGTGATCCTTAATATATCTAGTAATTGCACTTATCAAAGATACAACTCCTTCATTACAGTAGGAATAACAGCATCAGATTCACTACTAAAAGAAACAATGCTGGGAACAGGGCATTTTTATCAGTCTAAAAAGGAAAAGGAGGAATGTAATTTTGGAATTTTTCTTTCACTAACTCAGTTCCATTATCAGATCTTACAGCCTTAACTTTCTTCTGGAATTGAGTTTCTATCATGGACAGAAAATTGTTCACAGGCTTCAAAACTTGCATTTTATTATGCAAAAGAAATGTCTAGGTGACTCTACTATGGTCATTTAGAATTGTAAGGAAAAAAGAAGCTCTATTTAAGCATAAACTCTATAGGGACCCCACATATCAATGTGAATCAAATCAAATACAGCATCAGCTGATCTACTTGTGCTCACATGAAAAGGCAGCTTGTGTTGTTTTGCATGAAAACAAACTCCACAATTATATTCCTTAAGACCAGAACAATCACAATCATGAATATATTTCATCTTAGACAATGATACATGTCCAAGCCTAGCATGTAAAATATCTAAGCTAGTCTTATTAGCCTTATCTATATCACTTGTTCCAGTTTTACTAGGCAAAGCAAGTAACAGCTGATTATTATCAACACTATTGCAGCTTACTATATTTTTAGTAGAATCAATACCTTCACCTTCAGCAATATCTCTGATGAAATAGTATAAACCATTTTCCCTCTGACCATATCCAAGCACCTTCTCACTAGAAGGGTCCTGAAAATAACATCCATGGGCAGTGAAGTAAATCTGAACTCCAGTCTGATCAATTAATCGACCAATAGACAGCAAATTATGCTTGAAACCATCCACCAACATAACATCATTAAGCACCAAATTCTTATTCAGCTTCACACTTTCAATCATTTTAACAAACTTGTAAGTACCATCAGGTACACCACTCTAATAGGTCTATTAAGATTTCTCTTAGTGATAAACATGTTTGCATCAAACACCATATGATCACATGCACTAGAATCTACAATCCATAAGCAATTTTCACTAAACTGACTGACAGCACATGATGAAATAGAATCAGTACCTGCAAATTTGCAAATGTTGATCCTGAATCATAAGTCTGCTTTCCCTTCATTGTCTTCATCACTTCCTGACAGATAGCACTTAACATGTCTGAATCAATTCCACCAACATTATCAGAATTTTAACCAGAATCAAGAGGTGAATCAGATGTCTCTTGATTTGTATGAACATTTGCAGCCATTCTTTGTCCACCAGACTGTGTACCAGACCCCTTAAAAGCATTAATTGCATTATACCAATCAGGATACCCATGTATCTTCAAACAAGTATCTTGCAGCCATAGCACTACTCTCAGCAATGTGTTCAGTAGAACCACTAACTTCATTCTGTTTCTCAATCTGTTGAGTAATTGAGAAAGCACAATTTATTGTAGGTAAAGGATCCATGGACAAAATATTAGTTATAGTTGAATCATAACCACTCTTAAGTCCAAGAAGAAACTGCATCAATCGATCCTCTCCTTCAAGATCAACCAATTTCTTAAGAAATTGACAAGTACAACTATTAAGAGCTCCACAACTACAAGTAGGAAAGGCTCTCAAACTCTGTAATTCATCCCACAATTTCTTGATTTTGCCATAATAAGCAATAATACTCAGATTTTCTTGTTTTAAAGCATCAATTTCCTTCTTCAATTGATATATCAGAGGTCCATTAGACTGACCAAATCGATGATGCAATTCTTTCCATAGTTCAGATGAAGACTCAATGTATGCAAAATCATCAGCTAATTCAGCACTCATTGAACTCAAAATCCAACTAACAACCATATAAGACCTTCTCCAACGGTGAGACTCAAGTGAGTATTTTTAGGAGAGAGAGAGTATTTTTTACAATGTATACCAATAAGTTGGTATCTAAATTTAGAAACTCCAAAAGAAAGTTGCTAAGTTTAGATACTCAATTTTTAGTCTCATTTGACAAAAAGTGTGGGCCCCTTATCAGTATTCTAATATATTTTAAAATTTATTTAAGTTTTACCTTTTTTATCTTAAAATATTTAATGTTTCGGGTGTTTTTTTTGGATTTCCTTGGATACTGGTCACGCTCTCCTGGCAACAAGACGGTCCAACCTGCAAAACAACGAATATTTCGGTTGTCGGAATATTCGCCTCCGACGATCAAGTTAGTGATTGGAACGGAAAAGGCTAGAGAGAGAAAGTAGAGAGAAGTTGGAGAAATTTAATGCTCTTTTTGTTGTAATGTCTTAATCCACCCCTCCCATCATAAATTATTGGGGTATTTATAGGGGTGGGACTCGTGCCCTATTCTAGAGTTTGTACCCTAGAATTGCGTGACGTAATTGGCTGCGCAATCAGCGAATGCCACGTGTTACTTTGGGGGCGCCATTTTGCGGCTTTCATTGATATCTCTCGGGATTTGGGCCCTTGTTAGGCCTCTTTTGCGTGCTGAATAAAGGGGAACACATGCCCTAAACACGTGGCATCTTCCTGTAACGACACGTGTCACCCATTAACTGGGCCACGTGTCGCTACGGGATTGGCCTGAACCGTTGAATGCCCTTAAGATGGACGCGTGGCATCTTCCCATAATGACACGTGTCACCCTATAACTGGTCCACGTGTCACTACGGAACTGGTCCACGTATACAGGGTATTTTTACCCTCCACATTTGCCCCTCAGAGGGGGTGGCTCGTACACTTACAGGCTGACTCCTCTGACCTCAAATAGTCTTGGGGCGTACGAGCGCATTAGGGTTTTGACAGGTGGCTTTAGTCCGCCTGAAAATTTAGAGCGAACGCCCATCCTTACGGATAGTGCGGACAACGGTAGGCCATCTCGTTTGCGGCCGTCTTGCTATTGCGGAGGGCGCTTTAGCTCTGTTTTCTTATCCGTTTATTTTCGGATGTGCCGTTATTCGGTCGTCTTCTTTTCCGCCTATTCTAACGGCGTTGTTCTTTGCCCCCTCCAAATTCTAGGTTAAATATTCAAATTATAACCGTTCAATTTTGTTAGGTAGGAAAGATGAATTTACCGTCTTACCCCCATAAATTTTGCCTATATATACAAGGGGTTTGACCTCATTTTCGCACTTTGGAACTTTGCATTTTCTAGAGAGAAGTCAGAGCTTCTAGAGAGAGAAAGTGTATTTTCCTTTGAATCTTCGAGAGCTCCGCCGTGCCTTTGAGTTTTCCGGGCACATTCGTTGAGTTTTTCGGTCAACCTTCAAGACTTTCAAGTTTTCTACACGTACAGAGGTAGGCCGTCTGTTTTCTTTTTCTTGTATTTTCATTTCTTTATTCTTCATTTAAAATCTGGCTCAACACTCGGCTTCGTCCATTTCTCCTCATGAGGCCGGCCATTCACCTGGGACTGAGGAGTTTAGAGTGGACGGAGACGAGTTGTCTCCTTCATGGAGTGGGTCCATTTCTAGTGCGTACCAACTCACTTCCACCCATTCTTCTCTGTCCCTGCAGTCGAACATGGCAAGGACGATGCAGACGCACGATCTTCATGCGGCCAGAAATCCAGACGGTAGTCTGGTGAACCCTAATCCTCCTTATGACCCTAACAATACTAATTTAGAGACCTCAAGCCTGATAAGCCACCCGTCCACCCCAGCCAAGAGCACCAGCTTGAATACTTCAAAGTTAAGAG